ACACACACACACACACACACACACACACACACACACACACACACACACACACACACACACACTCTACAACTGCCTGTATGTGTTTTGACTTGTGGTCGGTTTATCCTTCCCTGTGCTTCTTTTGTTTGTTCAGTGTCCAGGCCTGTAAATGCTAGGCTGTGTGATGGTGAAGAGCCTCCTTTGGCTGTCCAGCACTGCTCCATTCCCTGCCAGCATTACTGCTTGCTCACCGGGTGGTCACCCTGGGGTGCATGTCTATATGACAGCTGCGAAGAACCACATGGGAAGAAAGGTATGCTGAAAAATTTATATAAAAATGAACAAGCTTTCGCTTTTGAAATATTTGGATCATTGCATTTTCCATGTATACATGTGTGTACCTGTCACAAGCGTTATATCGCAGCTCAAACTGGATGGAGTGAGGCAACATACAAATAGATATTCTTGGTTTCTGTGAAGATATTTATTGTCAAACAAAAGAAAGAAAGAATGAGAACAAGAAGATGAAATAAATTGCAGAAATGAGACAAACTGCATGAGCTTGTGAGTGATGCCAAATCAAAGAAAGGAACAAAACCAAGCGTAGGCTAACATCATTTACCGAATGACTTACTACAAAAGAAGATAGAAATCAAATGTAACTAACTCTTTGTCCAAAACAAACTACAGAGCAGCAACATCCTTGCAGCAAATGTGGCTAAACTGAAAAACAAGTAAGGCATGTGCACTGTTAGTGGAGCGTGTGTGGATATGTGTCTAAACCGGACCCAGCCGCAGGCAGTAACGGTTACTTCAAACACAGAGTTAAGTCTACCTGGTACCTATGTTCAACCTTACAGGCTGTATCTGCAAAATATGTCCTCTAAGTGTCTGCTTGTAGTGTTCACAGGCTAAATAAGGGTCTCAAACAAAAAGTACAGAACATGGAGACATCAACATCTGTGCTGAGCTTAAATAAGACATCAACTAATTGGTAAACTTGATTGTAAGAAGTTCTTCTTACGACCTGGCAGCAAAGGCAGGTGGAAAGCAGTGTGACTGGAATTGTCACAGGACTATTCATGCAATTAAGTAATTTTACTTCAAAGTCTAAGATGTACAGGATATGCTTGCTGGCCAAAAATATCATGACTATGTGACTCAAGTAGATGGGAGACACATCTTAACACGATGTCTCAAAATGCATCTTCCACCCGGAAAAACACTCTAATCACTCATGACCGACATAAAAAGAAAGGTAAAAGCAGAACAAGGTAACATTTATCTTTAATGGCACATGTGCGCTTCAAAGCACAGAGAGCAGAAGTTGTATTTCTTGTGATGCATCACCGAATTTTTATGTTTGCAATAATAGCTGTGCAGTATTTCAAAATATAATTTAGTAATGCACTCAGCAATTATATTTCAACAATGAGAAGGTTTGACAATGACTTGTCTTCAATCAAAACCGCAGACCAATCCTAGCCCTAGTGATCACAACAGCCCATGAAACATAATGTAACAACCACAATAACAGACAAAGTGCACTAGAGAGTCCTTTTAAAATGTAGAAACATTGTTTCAAGGTGCTTTATTCTTCCAGCTGCCTTCAAAAGTAAAGCACTGTTTTCTCCGAATTACTCTGACCGATAATATGGATCGATAATAAAAGGGTGGTCACCAAACAGTATAAAAGATATTACATATATTTAAGTCTATTATATTTAAAATTAATCAACTAACTTTGATGTGGAAGTTTAAATCATAACTATTAAATAAAAGAAAATAAACAGTGTTAACTCTATTACAGGGATGTTCCACATGTAGAGTTAGTTGTGTACTTGTATATAGACATGACTTCTAATTAACCTGAAAGCTGTTACATACATATGCATTTGCTTTTTTTTAGCAGTGTGACATGCCTTGTGCTTAGATTGTCTCGAGACTGCTTACGCAGTGCTTCAGCAATCCTGAAGAGAAAGAAGTATTGTTCCTGACAGAGGTTAAGTGAGAAAGTGTCAGTGAAAAAGACCAATGTTGTCAGAGCAGTATAGAGAGCAGTATACGTTTGGATCTTAAATTGTTTGTTGATAAGCAGTTGTCTGGGAAGAAATGGGCTTTGGAAGAAGGTGCCACATGCTTAAACCACGGCAGACGAGAGACAGAATCACCTAGATTTCAGCTCTCAGGCCCCAGGAGGCTGAAAGGAGTATCAGCAGATAAGATGCTTCCTGTCTGCGTGTGCGTTTGCTCATGTGAAGTGTGTGTGACAGTGTGTCTGTGTGCGAGAGAGCAGATGTACTAAAGTATTCAACACACTCTTGCTGCCGATGTTCTTGTCTTTTTGCACAGGTGAAAGTGTGTCATATCTGACTGCTTTAGAAAGGCTGTGCGTCGTGAATGTGTGTGTGTGCGCAGTGTGCGTGTTTCAGTCAGTGTGCCAGTAGTGTCGGAGCTGTTAGTGTGTTAGTACTTTGCTAAAAGGGCAGCATGACCTCGTCCCTGCCGCGAGTAAATGCGCATGAAAGCGCCCCAGGGAGTGAGTGAAGTGTGCATTGTTCAGGTCAGTGCCCACACTCTCCAACACTGGATCTCAACGGGATGAGCCGACTCCTCTCACAGACAGTGTCATTAATATATTTCAAGGAGTGGAAAACACAGCATCTGCTGTTTTGCACAGGGTCTCTTGTGGCACACTGTCTTTTGATGGTATTCATAAAGACTACGAGTGCACAGCAGAAAGCGTACGAACCAATACACAACCACTTGCTGAAGCAGTGCTGGCAATGATGCAATAAACACTTATTGAGTAGTAGAGTATTGTTATTATCAGTGTCTTTGACTGTAAGGTTGGGGGGCGGGTTCATTCCACTGCATGGCAACCTGCCACTGCATGTGGCGAATAAAATTTGAACTTGAACTTGAACTCGAACTTGAACTTGCACCCTCTGAGCTGCAAAGAATTGGTAGCACACTGCCTTTGTGTTTCACAATATTAGAACAACTTTTGATCCAAACTGAAAGGCTTGTGAGATCCCAAATTTCAGGTGGAGGAGCCAAGCTGGTGCTTCTGCTGCTTTGCTTTCCAGGAAATTACGAATTTAAATGATCTAAAAGCACTTTTAGTGCCTTTTCCATAAGGCACTAAAAGCTTTATGGAAAAATGAATTGAACATGGGAGATTATTGGACAGAGTTCTGGTAATGTCTCTGCAAGAAATCACAGAGCTGTGGGGAGGTGTATTTCTGAACAACTATGTGCTAAAAATCACCGGTTGGCCCTTGTTTCCTTGAAATAAACCTGGTATGACCAAGAAACCTTTCAATTATTAATATCCGTGGGGGCATGCCCAGCCAAATTGTTTTTTGTGGTTTGGATGTGAGTAACAGTAAGTGCTCCGGGCAATACTGCAATCGATCCACAGTCTCTTTGCTCTTCGAGAGCACACTTGGGCAGCATCGCTCGGATCTGGCCGCTGAACTGGTGCCTCACACCAATAGATGGTCAGGGATGTAATTTGCAGAGTGGGCATCCAGGGGTTTGACAGGTCCACCTGTGGAGGGAAAGAATGTGAGACCTTTCAGCCATGTGTAAATTGAGTATTGCTCAAAAAGAAAAGCCGCCCCTGCTCAAGTGTCGTCTACATTTACTGGAGAAAGTGCCACAGCTAAAAAATATTATTTTTATCCTTCAACTTTTTATCCACAAATGCATCATCAGGGAACTGGAAGAGCTCGGTAGTCAATAGAAACCATGGATTATAAATGTGGATCACAATGTGTTCGATAGGTAAAGACCTGATTATAAAGAAATGTATATTTTAAGAATAACCCATCTGTGACATAATCAACATTTTAGAACCAAATCAGCCCTAATAGGCAACAAGAATGTAATTTGATGGGTGATTGGGTAACTGGCTGAATAATAATGAGTGTGTCAAAATGTTGATCATTTTGCAATTTGCTAGTTACTGTGTAAACCATCTTTAGAGCAGTGTTGTTCATGTCACATGAATCAAGCTGCACCGTCTTTAATGTATCTCTAGCCACTGCCTTTTCACTGCTGTTGTGTCACTTTTGCACCTAGCTCTCGCTTAGATGTTATTTCAATCGATATACATTTGTTTTCTGACAGACAGTGATCATGCTGCTTTTGTTTATTTATTTGTTTGTTTATTTATAAGGAACCCCGTTAGCTTCCACAACAGTGGTTGCTAGTGTTCCTGGGGCCCAAACCATCAAATACCATTGAATAAAATGTTACACAATGAATTGGATCCAAAATATCCACATAATTTGGCTCTTACATCCACAATAAGGTTTTACAATTCTGAAAATATAATATTCATATCATCTATTTGTTTATGTTCCTTACTGAAAAACAGGGAAAGGATGGCAACCAAAAATACGACATCTTTCCCGATCTTGCTAAAATAAAAGTTCTGTAAATGTGACATTTTAGACCAGCTTTTGCTTGATTATAGGGAAAATTATAAAATAAATATTATTATAGGGAAAAGTATTAATTAGCAGTTAAAGTATATATAAGATAATTACTAACTAACTAAAATAAACTTGAATTGCATAAAAATTGCTTGTAAATGTGCAAAGGATGGATCCTTCTATGTAGCTAGCTAGCTATTGGACTATCTATTGTTCTTTCTTTTACGTTTTGATTTTGTCAGGACAACTTAGTTTTTGGATTATAATTTAAAGAAGCATATGACCAGTTGTTTTCATGGGTTCTTTCTGGGTTCTCCGGCTTCCTCCCACAGTCCAAAGACATGCAGTTAGTAGGGTTAGGTTAATTGGTAACTCTAAATTGCCCATAGGTGTGAATGTGAGTGCAAATGGTTGTCTGTCTCTATGTGTAAGCCCTGCGACAGACTGGTGACCTCTCCAGGATGTACCCTTGCACTAAGACAGCTATCCCAGCTACCCTGATAAGGATAAGTGGAAGAGAATGCATGGATGGAAATTCTATTTTTTTATTTTTTTTGTCCCGTTTGGATCTTTAGCCATCAGAATTGTTGTCTTAAGGCCAAGAAAGATGCCAAGCGGATTTATTTTACCAAGTGGATCATCATGGCCTTGCCATATTGGTCCATTTGATTGACCTTTATTATAATTATGTATTTATTTTATTTTCGGTTGCTACAAATGGGACAGACATGACTGGGGAATAGGACAGGGAGAAAGAATGAAAGAAAGAGAGGGAGAGAAAGAAAAACAGAGGGGAGAAGAGACGTGAGAAAGGGGGGAAGAAAGAAAGAAAAGCAAACAAAACACCTGGATCACCTGTATGGAGAAAAAAAAACAGAAGAGAAAACAAACAAAAAAAGAGCAACATAATAAATACAGCACCATCACAATAAACTAGCTAGCAGTAGATAACAGTAGATACTAAATATTAAACGCTATTGTGCAGCACACGAGATAGACAGCGCACAATGTGCTTTGAGGCAGCAGCCAAGAAAGGTGTAGTCCGTGTCTGTGAACACCGGTGTGTACACCTGTGTGCACACCTGTGTGGATCAGCATGCTTGTATTCCAAAAGTTTCTCCATGTAACGATCTGCTAGGGAGTGTGGGGAGCCATAGCCCCGTCCCCCAGGGCATGAAGCAGGTATGGATGGAAATTCTAAACCACGAGTCAAACATTTGGACTGGATTCTTATGGCACCAAACATTATAGATGTTTTTCATCAAGCTTGTCCTAAATGATAGCACGTAGCACGTGCTGTACATTGAAGTTCAGATATTAAAATAAAATCTCACTTCTAATATGTTGAAGGATTGTATTAAATCAAACAAAAAAGGGAAATCAATGAAGAAATATCTACTGGGAGTGTTTCTTTATGAAAAGGTCTCTGTGTTAGAGTAAATGAGAAGAGGGGCAGAAGCAGAATGTCAGTGTGTCTATATCTGTGGCACAGAGACAGGTGGGGCCAAGCAAGGGAAATACCAAAGATCATCATGTATTTCAGTTTGGACTTCTTTGTTCTGAAGTGAGGTGTGATCCAGCCTTTAAAATAACATTAAATATTTTCCTTTGAAAAAAGATGTTTTTTCTTTGCTTTATTCAGTCTCTCTTGATCCAAAGGTTCAACATATGGTCACAAGTCTATGTGGTTAAATTGCTAACATTGCCACAGCATGGTGTTATTCTGGGTTTTGAAAGGTTTAGTTGTTTGTTGGACAGCCTCAGTGCTGGTAGGTTTGAAATTAGGTGAGAGGGTGTTGTTACATTGTGTTGTCTTTGAGGGTGTGAGGTAATACATGTTGAACAATATTTATTATTCCTTTTAGTTTTATTTATGTTGAAACTATAGAAGGTACTTGAGTTCAAATGCTAATATCATGGCAGGGATACAGCTTTCACCTTCTGTTATGTCATCGAATGAAAGCCTTGTTGGTTTGGAAAGTGTTATCCTTTTCAATGGCATGAAGAACATTTTACAATCTTTGTGTGTATTTGAATTTTTTCTGGGCTCTGCCAGTCATTTCCTATAACTTTATATTCACCACAAAACTCCTTAATCAGGATTTTACTATTAAAAGCTCTGCAGAGATCCTAACAACTAGGCAATCTAATAATCTAACCAGTCAGTAAGTAGTCTAATAATACTAGCTTGGAAACATTATGTCATCATGCGACATCACAGTATCTTGCTCCATTTGGCTTCAGCACCACTGTGGAGTCAGTAGAAGTCAAAAAGAAGACTTCAATTTAATGAAGCAAGAGCAATAAAGAGTAGATTACAAAGGTGCTTAAACGACAATATCCCTCTATATTCACAGATAAAAAGCAAAAATTATAGCAAGCAAATTCGATCATACTTTGTGATTGCCGTTTACCAGGTCAGAGTGAACCAGAGAATTGATCTAGCAATGTAAAACACTTATTTAAACATGGAATTTTCACTCGTAGAAACTCCAAATTTAAATGTGTTTAATGACATTCTCAAAATAAAAATAATCCTGAGATGGCGATAGGGCAGTAAGATTTGCTTGTCTAGAATCAACAGTAAAACTGGTACATTTTATCCTTCTTTATTATTTACATTTAATTTGTATTATTTTCTTAAGACAATTATAGCTTTTTTTTGTTCTTTTCAGGAATTTTATGTGGTATCTATTGTTGGTATATTATCTAATGTAAACGAATGCCTGCAGCCCCCCAACCAAGTTTGTTGCAGCAAACACGAGTAACAGCACAAAAACAAAGTAGTGTACTGGTGTGAATGGGGTCAGCAGCAAAACATAGTTTGGCCACTGAAAAGAATGCCCACCTAATATTAAAACAAAGAAAGAAATCAATATTTGTTTTAGTGTATATCATCTTTGTGATATTTGCCCCCTTTACTCTGCTGTCAGACAGTCCTTTCCAGTGGGGAATGAAAGCCATAATGGTAATAATAGTACTCTCTTCAAATCTATCAGACTGACAAAAATGCTTATTTTACCTTACAGAACAATGGTGTTTCTGGTATTCTGTTGCCATGACTGAGCAATTTGCTTGTTCTTGTGATTAGTTCAGCTTTCCATCAGCAAGAAACATCTAATAAGAAGAATAGCAATGTACATATATAGACTTTAAGTCTATGAATACTATAGTAACTATATTATCAGGGTTTCTCGGATAACTTCTTCTGTACTTTCTCACCACCTGTTTCCATCAGGTTTCAGACAGAGGAGGAGAGAAGTGCTGTGGGAGTCTAGTGGCACTCTGGGGACATGCCCTCATCTGACGGAGTTCATTCCTTGTGACGATCCTGCCTGCTACCTGTGGCAGGTCCAACAAGAGGGAAGATGTATTCCCACCAAAAACTCCTGCGGTCCTGGAACTGCAATCCAGAATGTGATCTGTGTCAACGCTAAAGGTAATGTTTCACATATTCTTCATAGATAAACCGTTCCTGTCACATATTGAATGCATTTCATTGTGACTGAAAATCGGTCATTTAATTCAGTTTGGCCTTATTCCAAGTAGAAAACCTTACTAAAATGAATACTTTACTTTTTGAATAATCACCTTCTACTGTCTTTACATTTTTTTTAACTCAACTATCTTCTAGAGCATCCCATGCCTGAGGCATTTTAAAAGGCAAGGACATTAGTGACTAGAGTCTTGAATTGCTGAATCCTCAACAGAGACTTCATTCTTGTCCAAGATAACTCTGAAACGAGGCAAAATAACAAAGGAGTGCCTAAAGGGAGAGCAATGACAGCTCAGCTAGGCATTTACCTGTTCTATCTAGAGAAAGGCAGCTCAAAAGTTAAACAAGGATCCAGCCAGCAATACTCACGAAAGCAGTGGCTAGAAAAATGTAACAGAAGTTCAAAGCTGTTTGAACTCTCAGTCACATCCTGGATGAGCCCCCAAATTATTACATATCTGAGGAGAGGTGGGGGATGTGGGGAGTAGCAATAAAATGTCCAGGTGAAAGTCAAAAACTGAAATAAAATTAATCTATATTTTATGAAAAGGTTCAGCTTTGAAGTGATTTTTAGATGAGAAGACTATGCTGCTTTATCAATCAAGCATTACCAAATCATTCGTTAGCCAGTAAAGAAAAGGCAAATCGTCTAAAGAAAAAAGCACTTCTGTTGACAGAAGGCACTGACTACTTTCTAGTAACTCAGCACTACCAAAGCACAAAGCATGCATGCCACTAAAGCTCACCACTAGCTGGCCCACACTGAGCGATTAGCTCTTCCCCAGCTTTTTTAGCGCAGGGTGGTTAATTGCTGAGTGAAATCAGCTGTGCGCTCACTCCACAGGAGAATGGGGAACCACCAAATTGAGGTTAGAAAGCAACACTACGAACACAGTAGGCCTGCAATAGCCTTGACTGTATCGATACAAGGCGGGGGAGATCCTGGTTTTGAGCAAAGCTAGTTAGTGGCTTCAGCTTTACTTCATATTTACTTCCTGTTGCTGGCAAGAAAAATAATTTGCATATTTATGGCAAAATGCGGATTTAACAGTTTCTGACCATAATAAATTAATTCCTTTTATGGTTTTTATTATTATTGATTGCTATTTAGTTATAGTATGTATTCATTTATTTTTTAGCTTTAACTATAAATCCACTTAATGTATTAAATATTACAATATTATTAAATGTAATATTGCTTATATATAGCTATCACTAGAAATTCATCCAAATTCACGGTAAAGCCATTAGTGCTATGGTCTTGACATGCAATCTTATCAGTTATGCAGAAACTATCAAGTATAATGTGATCCGTTGTGATCAGCCATATCCTCATGTTGGGTGATGGGGACATCAGCATTAACGGAGCATGCATTATTCATTAGGGATCATCATCGTTTGTGGGCTCAGAAAACATTGGCCTGATTAAAAGTCAGAATTGTAGCTTCCTACCAAGCATTAATTGATCATCTCCATAGATTATAAATCTAATTGCACCCTTTTTTGCCTGTGTTTTATTATTCTGTCAAAATGGATCATGTGTGTGTTTATCAGGAAGGCAGTGGAAGGTCCAGATAAATTAGCCAACAGGAGAGTCTAATGAGTTTTGACAGGACAGCTAAGAGTGGGAGCTTTGCCAGGTTTTAGGAAAAAGGCTCATGAAATTATCTGTGGTGGATTTCTATGGAAATTATAGTTGGTGGCTGCTCCTTAATTGGCTTATCGGACTTAAGATTCTAGCATTTTGAGTTATTTTCACACATAGTGACAGCCTTGTGACTGCTGAGTTCTTAAGTGAGCCCCTTTGTTTAAAAACTCTCACAGTTGCAACTGCATGGAAGAAAACCAGTTAATGTCATAAGAATATTACACTTTGTTTCTTGCAGTTAAATCCAAAAAAAGGTCCTGATACTAACTAATTTGGCTTTTCATATTAGAATAAAACAAATGCATAATAGAAAATAAGTGTTAGAGGAATCAAGTATAAAGGATTTGTAATGAATAGACATGAATGAAAAAGTACAATATAATGAAAAATATAATTTTGATAGAAGTATGTGACACTGAAAGGAATCTATATTTACATTATTCAAATCTGCTTTCATGTGTTTATGAGACCACATAATAATCACACCAAGTAATGTTGGTACATTGTTTTTATTATTTGAATGAGTGATGTAAGATAGATGATTATAGATGGAACAAGTTTTGTTGCTTTGATTTTTTTTTTTCATTATTTATTTTGTGCAAGCATCTCCCCCCTTTCCACAATCATATCCTGGTTTGTCTCTAGAGAGAAAATGTTCTTCGTTTCTGTACTGGTAAAATTTAGCAGACCTTGAAGAAAGTAACTGCTAATTGCCAGTCTGGCTGCACACTCAGATTCATCAGATTCAAGCTCTGCGTCTAAGCTATTACACAAGTAATAATGATGGACATTTTGTCTGCTGGAAAAGGCATAAAGGCAGCTTCTCTCCTTGAAAAATGAAGTGCTAAATAAAGATTCCTATAGTCTCAAAGACTGTCGACTAACTGTATTTATTAGTTAATAATGTCAGAGTTAATTTAAATCTTCCTCTAGTCAACGCTTGGCCAACTCCAGGCCTCGAGGGCCATTGTCCTGCAGGTTTTAGATCTCACCCTGGGTCAGCACACCTGAATCAAATGATTAGTAGGGGTGGGTTTTCATTATCGATTTATTGATTAAAATCGATTCTCGCTTGGACAACGTGATATTGATTCATTAAAATCCTGAATCAATTTTTTTAATATAAATTTATTTTGCCCAAAATGCCAGAATCTCAGGTTTAACCTCACAAAATTTCAACAACCACCAAACAGCTAAAACAGTAAATGAGAGCGGGAACACGGATTCTGCACAAAGACGTAAACACAAAGTGTAGACCTGCCGACGAATCAGAATCAGTGAGATGTCGCCTTTCTCACCCGACGGCACGGACACGAGCTGAAAGCCGACAGCTCGCTGATTCTGATGTTTCAGTGGGTCCGCACTTTGTGTTTGCGCCATTTTTGCCCTGATTCTGAAGCTGCAGCCTTTATCTCTCTCCAATCAATATTGACTGAACCAGCAGCAAAAGAAGCAGCAAACTACGCTTCACATAAACATCGTCATGAATTCCCCTACATGCACAGCTCCCTCTCTCTCTCTGTACTTCAAGATCAGTTTCCCTTCTAACAATCTTTTTTCTGCATTATTCGCTTGCTTGTTACGCATAAGTCTACCGTTCTTACAGCCTGTCGGACGCTGTTTTTTCCCCTTTTACTTACTTCCGAAAAGAAAGCCTCATTTCTGCCGTTCAATACTGAACTAAACTTTTTTAAATTATGCAAAATAGCAAAATGCTTAGCCGTGTCTCTAATAAAACCTCTGTAACTTTGCTCTGCTTCACATCAGCAGCATCAGGTAATGTTCATATGTTCATTAATGGGTTTGTTTCGTTTTTGATCTACTGCAGAATATTTTTATAAAATCCCAAGCCAGGAAAATCACCTTCATGTTTTTCTGTGTTTTATCCTCTACTTTGACACAAAGGCATCTGCTGTGACGCTCACACCTTTGATTATGTCTCCCAAGTGTCGAATTTCTTTTTCTAGATATAAAAATATAGAAATGTACTGATGCATGATCTGAATTATAATATGTCTGACTGTCTGAGGCAAAATTTCCCCGATTCAAATTGAATTGAATTGATTCAAATTGAATCGAATCAAATCGAATCGATTCTAGAAATGGGTGATGATACCCAGCCCTAATGATTAGTTCATTACCAGGCTTCTGGAGAACTTCAAGACATGTCGAGGAGGTGATTTAGCCATTTGAATCAGCTGGATCAAGAACACATCTAAAACCTGCAGGCCTTCGATGTCTGGGTTTGGATACCACTGATCTAGGTGTACATTAAAAAAAAAAAAAAAACTACTCAAGGATATTAGAAATCATAATAGTGGTTATCAGCTTTAATCAGGCCTTCTGCTTCAGGTTTTGTTCTCATTTGACTCATATTTCTTTCACAGTGTATGTGACAAGAGGGCAGACCATACCAAAGGTTCACTTAAATCAGCCTTGGCTAACGCCAGGCCTCGAGGGCTGGTGTCCTGCAGGTTTTAGATATCACTCTGGGTGAACACACCTGAATCCGATGATTAGTTCATTAGCAGGTCTCTGGAGAACTTCAGGACATGTTGAGGAGGTGATTTAATCATTTAAATCAGCTGTGTTGCATCAAGGACACATCTAAAACCTGCAGGACACCGGACCCCGACGCCTAGGTTTGGACGCCACTGATGTAGTCGAAGCTTCCGCTGTTATCGCCAACAAATTAATTATATGAAACAAAAAATAAACCTTACACAGCTGTGGTCAGAAGTTTACACACACTCGTCATGTCATGGTAGTTTTGGACTACACACGTGTTGTCTTTTTTTAGCAGGGTCTTCTTTCTTGACTGGTACCCTCCCAGTTCATGGCTATGTAAAACTCACTTCACTGTGGACAGTGAGGCTGCTGTACAGTTGTTTGAACTGATGATGTTGGAGTCTACAATTGTTTAGAAACTGCTCCAAGAGACCTTCCTAAATTAAATCTATAGTTTTTTAGAGTTTCTCATCAAGTTTCTGGACTTTCCAATTGTTCTAAGTATTGGTCAGTCCAATGAGTGCTATCAAACAAATCCTTTTTATGCTGGCACTCTGTAGGCAGTGTTTTCAGGCGGAGAAACTACCAGTTGTAGTCAATCACGCCAGCTAATGAGAAATTAATAGGCCTTGGCCTTGTCAAGATAAACAACAGTGTAGCACTACTTATTGCAAATGTCAGCTGTGTATATGCATACGTTTGACACTGTGCTGATTATAGAATAGCCAAAAGAAATTAAAGCTTGCGCACCCAATTCTTGTTTTTTTTTAAAAACCATTAAAAAATT